ATATATTTATGCTAACTATCTTGAAAGTTGACAGTTGGGATTTGATAGCATATATGTAGCCCATGACTTTGATACAAACTAACCAACAAATCACTGCTTCCTGCAGTGTAATCTCGACTCCTTGTTATCCTGTCCACTGTTTCCTGAGCTCAGCATTTGTTCTTTCTGAAGGAATGTCTCTTAACATTTGCACTAAATTTTACAGCTAGCTGATATCTCAGCATGTACTTTTGCAACTATAGTTGATATCTCAGCACATACTTCACACCAAAAGAAATGTGTGTGATTACTGTGAAGTCCATAGTCGATGTCTTCTTTCATGGCAGAAAAGAGGGGATCTGATGATAAAAAAAGTAGTGTGAAGTCCAGTAGTCGAGAAAAACAGAGTGAAGACACAAGCATGGACTCCAAGGAAGGCGATGCTAAGAATGAGGTCAATGGGACCAGTGAAGACATTAAATCTGAAGGTGACACTCAGTCCAATTAAAACTGATCTGATATGACCTCAGATCAGACAGAGGTAAGTGCATTATTTCAAACTTTGATTAGGGCTTTTTGTTACTGTTTAACAGTGCAGCGTAAGTATGTACAGATGAAGATGGATCTAAGACAAGTAAGAAGAGATACTAAAGCAACCTCTGAAGGAAAACACAGTGTAGTCCTGCAAAATCTTTTGAGGTACATTGTTTTGTATCGGCTATTTTGTAGCAGATTCATAATCCCCTTTAGTGTGCCTCTTGGGAACCTATTTGTAATTATAGTCACCATAGAATTTAATTATCCTATTTTTATTTTTAGGGGATTTGTTATCTTTTTTAACACTTGATCTGATTTTGTAATTAAGTCCATATTGTGTTCGTGCATCAGAAACATTTATTTTAATACTTAATATTTGAGGCACATATTGGACTATTTTGTTTTTATATAAACTGCTAGTATTTCTTTGTCAAGGATGTTTCTAGTTTTTTTGCTTTGCCTTGCATTCTAATGCAGTTTGTTCTGTAACTCGAGAGCCAGTAGCATTGGATTGATGGAAGTGTAGGGTTTATGAATAATTGCAGCTGACTACCATACCTCACACAGCGTTGGTGTTGTGAGCGGCCCATGAAAAGCCAAATTAAAAATCAAGGATTCAGTCAAACTAAGCAGGTACTCATGCCAGGTACTCCTTTCTCTACCCACATCCATGTTTGAATGCTGTTGCCTGTAATCTTTACGCTTACTGTTGTGTGTTTTATTTACAAAAAGTGAAAAGGAATCTTTGTGAATATTTCGTGAAAATTGTTAACCTGATATTAACTTGATTGGCATTTTCTTTCAACTGTGTGTAGGGATGCAGTGCTGCCCAGAATTAGATATCTTTAAAGAGTATTAAATGCAATAAATACTACCTAATAACCGCCTTGTTACATTCAATGCATTTCAAGTCTTTAAGAGGTATGTGTTTATAATTTCCTACTGCGTAGGAGAATTGCCAGGCAGCCATGGCACACAACAATATATTATTGGCTGATACCAGACTTGGGAGGCAAATGAAATAAAGGCCAATGTTAGGAGCACTCAGTAGGTATATATAACTGGCAAGAATATTCACGTTGCTTTGTTAAATGGAACTCAATTTAAATATAAATCACCTATTTTTGACTTAGGAAGGATTTTTCAGGGTCATTCCTTTTAAAGAATAGACCCAAATAAAAGAAGTAGCCAGGCACTCACTTCCCTGACAATATAGCTTCAACACATCTCAGAACTGCTAACCAATTACAAAGCAGGCCTATGCATGTTTACACAGAAGTAAATTCCAGTGTGTTTTTATGGGCCTTACTCCTAGATAAGTTATGCATAGGTCTGTAAACTTAAGAGGTACAGTCCTCCAAGCACTGATGTTCAGTCTCTAATCATTCTTGCACCTGAACCTCCATTACATGAAGCTTCCCAGCAGCACTGATTGGTGAATTATGCTATTATTTTGTCCTTATCATCACATAGGGGCTTTAAGTGTATTACTTAGTGAGATTTTTGAAGGTAGAGCGGGCAGCAAGCAGGCAGTAGGAGTGACAAAACAAAAGTCACCTCTGTTCACATGATCTGACTCTTTCTTCCCAACATTTTTGCATTATAGGACAACCATGTGACAAGACTGCGAAGAATCCTGAAGACTGCTTAATATGAAGATCTGCTTTAAAATGAGGTGAAAGAAAGCTGTAGTGGCATAGAAAAAAATTAAAGTTCTGTTAGATTTTTTTTAATTAAAAAATAATAATTCAGGACTGTTATGACATCTCAAAATACAAAGAAGTTATTAAGCAAGCTACTGAAAATTTAAGTCTTTTTATCATTTTTTTCCTATAAGACTTTTAAGATGATAAAGCAACATAACCTGAACACGAGGCTTGCTCAGTGTTTAATTGCAAAGTTTTCATTCTTGAACTACGAAATACGAAAGTAAATGTTTAGTATTTGTGTGACTGAGATTAAAACAAATCCCATTTTTACAGGCAAGCTATATATAGCTTCTTGATATATTCTAATGGAAATAAAGTATCTGAATTTCTGTTACACATTTTATTGTCATTGAGTGTTTAATATTAAATAGACTTCTTTCCATATAAGTGTGTTCTAGCTCATTCTTCTCTGTTCCCTATCCTCTGATTAGGAGAAGTTAGGAATTTTCTCAGAACTATTCAATGGAATATTTTTTTTAAGATCTTACATAAAACCATCCCTCCTTACGAACAAAAAATTTCAATTAACAGTCATTAATTAAAAAATAGAAAAGTAAATTATATACCAATAAAGAATTATATTTGTAGCTCAGGGTTGAAATATGGGGGTCCTCGATGCTCTATGAGCTTGTTTATTTTCTTGCAGACATTTCATTACCCAGGTAACGTCATCAGTGCAAATAATAATAATAATTATTGTTGAGAATGAGAGGGTGAAGATCTTGTGGGACTTTCGAATCCAGACAGATCGCCATTTGGAACACAATATGCCGGATATCACAGTTGTAGAGAACCGAAGCGTACAGCTGATTGATATCGCTGTACCAGGAGATGCCAGAGTCAAAGGGAAAAAAAAACCGGAAAAAAATTATGAAATATTGCGACCTGGCCATCGAAACTGCGTGATTATGGATGAAACGTGTAACAGTGGTACCCATTGGCATCGGGCACTGGGAATTGTGTCCAAAAACTTTGCACAATACATCAAGCAACTGCAGCTTCCTGCAATATCTCCAGCAATGTTACAAAAAACTGCGCTACTCGGAACATCTTATATTTTAAGGAGATGCCTGGTTGACACCTAGGATGCTGGTAGCAACCCGTGTCAGCCATCAGTGCCAGTCAATTTGAATGTTCAGTTGACAGAGATTCATGTTTAATGAATAAAAGATAATAATAATAATAGAACTGAAAGGGACCTGGAGGTCATCTAGTCCAACCCCCTGCTCAGACAGGAAACCCTATACTATTTCAGACAAATGGCTGTCCAGTCTCTTCTTAAAAACTTCCAGTGTTGGAGCATTTACAACTTCTGGAGGCAGGTTGTTTCACTGATTAATTGTTCTAACGGTCAGGAAATTTCTCCTTAGTTCTGGGTTGCTTCTCTCTTTGGTTAGTTTCCATTGCTTCTTGTCCTGCCTTCAAGTGCTTTGGAAAATAGCTTGACTCCATCTTCTTTGTGGCAGCTTCTGAGATATTGGAACACTGCTATCATGTCCCCCCTCGTCCTTCTCTTCATTAAACTAGATGTACCCAATTCCAGCAACCGTTCCTTGTAAGTTTTAGCCTCCAGTCCCCTAATCATCTTTGTTGCTCTTTGTACTTTTCCTAGAGTCTCAACATCTTTTTTACATCGTGGTGACCAAAACTGGATGCAGTATTCCAAGTGTGGCCTTACCAAGGCATTATAAAGTTGTATTAACTCTTCACATGATCTTGATTTTATCCCTCTGTTAATGCAGCCTAGCACTGTGTTGGCTTTTTTGGCTGCTGTAGCACACTGCTGGCTCATAGTTAAGTGACTGTCCACTAAGACTCCGAGATCCCCCTCAAAGTTACTACTATTGACCAAGGTACCACCTATACTGTACCTGTGCATTTGGTTTTTCTTGCTTAAATGTAGAACCTGACTTTTTTCACCATTGAATTTCATTTTGTTAGATAGCACCCAGTGTTCAAGTCTGTCAAGATCCTTCTGTATCTTAAGCCTGTCTTCTGGAGTGTTAGCTCTTCCTGCCAAGTTGGTGTCATCTGTAAATTTGATGAGTACCCCATCTATCCCTTCATCCAAATCAGTGATGAAAATGTTGAAGAGCACTGGGCCCAGAACAGAGCCCTTGGGCACCCCACTACACATTTCCCTCCATGTAGATGCAGTTCCATTGAAAAAACTGCAACAAAACAACAAGCACCAAGGATCCCTCAGTATTATACACACTTTAGTTCTAGAGTAGTCCTTAGCTTACAAATGCCTGACTATAAAGGTTCTTTTTCTTAACAGAACATGCCCCTGTGGACCATGAGGAGGTTTCTCTAACTAATCTTAATACCCAAGTTGGAGGAAGGCAATATTTATAATCTGGGTTCTAAGTTATTAGAGGCTTTGTGAATACATCCCAATACATTAAATATAAATTTTATGCAATAGATTGACCTGTGTATTGTTGATGAAAGTAACTTCAGCAAAAAGAAATGGTTGCATGTGGAAACATACTTCTTAGACCAGTGGTTCTCAACCTTTTTAATGCCGCGACCCCCAACCAGTCGTAAGTCGAGGACTACTCAACTGGTCGTAAGTCGAGGACTAAACTGGTGCAGCACCGTTTGCAGAATGGGACTTTTGGCGGGCTCAGCAGGGCAGAGACAGCCTGGATAATTCCTATTGGCTTTTGAAAGCCAATAGAATTAAACTCTATTCTAGAGAGTCTATTCTATTGGCTTTCAAAAGCCAATAGAATAAAAGGGAGTAGCACAGCTAAGGAAAAAGGGGAAAAAATGGCGGACTGCGTTGTTTGGCAACCCCTGTGAAATGGTCATTCGACCCCAAATGGGGTCCCGACCCACAGGTTGAGAACCACCGGCTTAGACTATTCTAAAAGACTACATGCCTATTGTACACAAAAGTAATATATCAATAATACCTGTGGACGCATCCAATAACATCCAGAACACATTATTTATAATTGTTGAATGTTTGCATGTTTTATCTTGTAAGCTGCTCAGTGTCTCCTTGAATCGCAAGATGGGTGGTAAATTAATTTTGATATAGAAAATTCACACAAATTATGGCTGCTTCAGCATTACAGTACTGTGCCTTCAGACTATATTTCCCAGAAACCTGTAGGTTGTATGACACAGGGAAAGTTAAGGGGTGTGTCCCTCCTTTCCCACTTCCCTCTGGCCCCTGCGTCCAGTTGGCTGGTAGCAAAGGCACAACAGGTGAACAACAATTAGCTGCTTTGGAACCAATTATAAATAATGATTGATATACAATCAACCGAATATTAAAATGAAAGTTTAATGTTTGAAATAGTCAACTTTATTATGGAATGGAAAATAGAAAAGATTTTAATTTTTCAACAGAACTATTGAATTGAAGAAAAGATAAGTAATATCTGAATTTCTAAGGAACAGTAATTAAGCAAAACTAAGGATTTCTCCGCTAGGTTTTCTGTTTTGTTATTCAGTCTTATAGTCATTTAAGTTCAAATTCAAATTAATATTTTAAATTAAAATTAAGTGTTAAATTACTTCTCCACCCTTATTGCATCTGCAGGGACCCCACAGGTAGTCCTGTTTCAGGTAACCAGGTTTCTCCTGGGTAAGGAGTAACCAGGGGAACCCTTGCAGGGTCACTGTGAGGAATAATGTTAATATCTATCAGATAAAGTCACTTGACTTTGCTCATACTGTGGCTGAGCAAACCCCTTGGAAGTGAGAAAGTCATATTTGAGCCTTGTTATCTGGGAAGAGTTTGAGCCAGTTGCTCTTGAAGGGGACATGGTCCTTGGGGCTTTGATTCCGGCCATTTGTGTTCACAATCCATGCCCCTCCTAGACCGGTTAAGATCTCCCAGAAGGTAACATGGTTGGATCCAAGCAATGATTAATGCCTGTGCAGGAGGGGATGATACTGCCTGCCCTGAAGAAGGCACTGGTCCCCTTCTCAAGTGGCCATCTTTGGATCCACAGTATTGGATAACCTTCATCTAGTCTCCAATCTTCCCTTTATACAGAAGGTTATTGAAGGATGTTAGCAGGTAGCTACAGAGGGCTCTGGTTGGAGTGGATTATCTGGACCCTTTTTAATCTGGATTCAGGCCAGGGCACAACTCTGAAACCATATTGGGCACTTGTTGATGAACTTTGGAGGGCTCGAAATGGAGGTAGCAGTGTAACCTTTCTGGCTTTTGGTACCATTAACCATGATGTTCATTTGGACTGGCATTGGAGGATTGGCAGGACGACGCACTGGTTTACAGTGGTTCTTCCTCCTCACCTGCAGTGTGAGGTGCCTCAGTGCTCGATCGTCTCGATTCTTTTTAGCATCTATTGGTATGGATTATGTACCATTGGTATGCTGATAATAATTATATATTTCCACCCCTAGCCAAATAAGTGATGCTGGCTGAGTGCCTGAATGCTGTAAGGATCTGCGTCGGGAGGAACTGGCTTTGGCTCATCCTTGGCAAGTTGGGAGGGGTTGGGTTTTTGGCACCACCTTGACCAGATGATTCTTCATCTTTGACTCTTCCTTGGTCACCTTCCATCTGGATTACATTCTATACCCTTTTAAGACCACCCAGAAACCTTATGTGGTCCAGAATGCAGCGATGCATACAGTAATGGGGGCCCTGGGTTTTGTCAATGTAACACCAATTGCACAAGCTGCACGGGCTTCCAACTTCTTTCTGGATGCAATTCAAGGTGCTAGTCATCACCTTTAAAGCCTACATGGCCCAGGGCCAGGCTACGTGTGGAATCATCTGTCTACCAGATAGATAGGGTAGGCACACTTAATCTCTTTTCCCAAGTATTGGGGAATAGGAAGCATGACTTTTCCATGGAGTTCCTGCCCTAGGGAACACCTTGCCCCATGAGGTTTGGCAGGCCTCCACTCTTTTATCCCTCTGTAAGGCTTTAAAGACCTGACTCCCCAAAGAGTTGGGAGATTAGATGATTTATTTATTCTATTTCTATAGCTGCCCATCTCAATTGCTCAAGTTTTACAAATAAGGCAGCAAATACAATACATTTTCTTCCTTTTTCCTTTACAACAACCACCCTGTGAGATGGGTTGGGCTGAGAGAGTGACTAGCCAAGATCACCCACCTGGCTTTCGTGGCTAAAGTGGGACTGCCTACTTTCTAGCTTGACGCCTCATTAGTCCAAATATATTTGTGTTTGTGTGTGTGTGTACATATAAACACGGTACAATGAAAACATTTTAAAGCAATAAACATCCAAAATAAATTAACTAGCCAAAATATTTGGCCAATAAAGCCAGAAAACAGGGCCCTTAGCACATTTCGAACCCTAGGTTCAAGAACACTGCCAGAGTTTTAGAGCTTTACTACAGGCTAACGGGGTTGGGACCATTCTAATCTCCATGGGGAGGATATTCCATAAAGCAAGGACTATTGCAGGGGAGGCCCATGATGAAGGGCCAGTGCTAATCTGCATGATGGGTTGGTGCCAGTTTTTTCTTGTCGTGTTTTAACTGAGTTTTATAGTTTTTACATTTTTTTGTCTTAATTTTTGATTTGGAGTCACCCAGAGTTGGTTGAAAGATGGGCTAGAATTATTTTTAACACTAGACAATCGTTAATAAAAAGGATCAATAATGGCAAGAACACAAATATTTTCTATGGATCTTTTCCTGGCTATAATCATACCTCGGTACTTGACTGCTTTGAAACTCATGGTAATTTGGTTCTCAATGCATTTTGATGTGAAAATTTTGCCCCAGTGCTCGTTTGTTTGGTATTGGATGCATGCTAGAACTTGTTGGTGTTGGCTGCCTTGTGACTCGCTACCCTTTCCACACAAATGATGCCACATTAGTAACATGGTTTGTTTGTTTAGTATTCGTCACACCTCCCAGAACCAAGTAATGATGAGTACTGGGGTACCACTGTATAATGGATTCAACTTATGTCAACAGGATCAGAGTAATTGACTAAGGGAACAAGAACTTGCTAATGAAATAACTGATTATAATTACAAAGCAGGATTTTTTTTTGTTTGCGTATGGGGAGGTAGTTAGGACAGATTGCACATAAGACTTCTGGTGTGCTTATGCTGATTAGGAATTTGGTGGCAACTCCAACAATATTAAGTACAAACACAAAGTATTGCATATTAACTGAAAATATATGAAACTTTAAAAAATAGGTTTAATAATAGCTTAAAATAGAATATTCACTATCCTTCCTGTAAATCCTAAACTTCAATATATAAGGTTTGCTGCTTTGATGTTGTAGCAAGTTTTTTCTACCAGAGTTGTTACTGCAGCATTTCTGAGAGAAGATGTGATGCTTCTCGCTAAAACTAACTCCAGCTCTTGAAAATTCTGAAGCCTGGCCACATCTTCATCCTTGGAGGAGAAAGGAAATAGTATTTTTTAAAATAATTAAAGCAGTTTCAAACTGTGAAACCTAATAATAAGGTAACAGAGACTGCATTAAGGTGATGGATTACTTTAATACTACCTTAAGAATCTTAGTTAATGAAAAAAAATATTTTAAGCTTCAGGAACTGTTCAAGCATTCCATATTTATTATACTAATCCATACTGCAGACTAAACCCAAAGAGCTTTTATGAAACCCCCTTCCCATCACGTCCTTGGAACCATTATATGTTTCGTGTGGAGGTCTATAGAGGGATGCAAAATGCTCTCATCTGAATGTACTTAAGCTCGATGGAATATCCCAGTTACCAGAGCTATTCTGAGAGCACTGGATCTGCCTAGACTTGTCATTGCTTTGTTTACACCTTGTCAATCAATGCAAGTTCTTTGTTAGAAATGGAACATTAAAGGCTAGAGTTATATGTGCTGCCTTTTATATAAATTACTGAAGTACTGAAGACTCACACTGCACTGATAAATTATGCAGTTTGCGCAGTTTTGAGTTTAGGAACTTGGTTATTCTGATTCAGAGATCAAAATTGTAGATTTTGGCAACCTTTCTGCTCTCCAGTAGCATGATGAAATGACCAGTGTGAAAAAAATCTCTAAATTACCAAATTTTGTGAAAGTCTCACAAAGTCCCAAATTGAGCATTTTCACATAAAAATCTCACGAGATTTGTTTCATAGTAAGTTTCAGGTTTAGGAGGGGTGATATGCAGGCAACTCGTAAGTTATGAACTGCAATACTAGATGAATCTGGATAATTGAATCAGTGCTGCTTAAGCAAATCAGCTCAATGTAGAAACACAGCCAATTACTAGTATCATTAAAACAAGGAATAAGAAATCCTGTTTGAGAAGTTTGCTTGCATACAACTCTATTTTTATTGAGTCTGCAAATCCTTGGAAGAGGAGATAAAATCTTGCAAAATGATAGCTTAGCTCCTTGGCTTATGGCATGAGTTAACTAAAGTTAAGCATAAAAAGTAACCAAAAATATTTAGGAATAGATATTATATAAGAAGTGAGCCAGCCAATTTTATTTTGGATATCCTTGTATATATAAACCGATGCAATCTTATACATATAAGAAGGTTGCACACCTGTCAGTAGATTAAGGAGGAGGTTAAACCTTGCCACAGTGCTTCAACAGGAAAAAGGGCAAAGGGCATTGTAAAATCAGACAAATAATCTACATTATCCTGGTGCAAAGGTCCTTTTCATGATCAGAGACATAATAAAGTAGGGGGAGAGGCAGACCAGCTCCCCACATTTCACTCTGCTGAAACAAGCCTAGCGGTTTCTGTTTAGGCAGTTTGATTTTCCATCCCCTATAGTTACAAAGTTCTACATCACGGGTGTCAAAACTCGATCGCATCACATGACCTATCATGACTTTTTTGCCTTTGTGGAGCCAGGGTGGGCGTGGCCTGTACCTAACTCATCCGGTTCACGGGCTGCCAGTTTGACACCCCTGCTCTACATGGTTACAAAGCACTACTCTTAACACTGTTTCTGAGAGCTGAAGATGGAGCGAGGGAAAGTAGAATTAGAAGAGCATTGGCAGAATCTCAAGAATAAGAAGACGGAGATCAACGGGTTTGCTCATCTAAAACTCTATGATTCAAACTTCGACTAGTTACACTTTTTAAATTGCATGAGCAAAATATTTTCCAACATATTGGAATATTTTCCAGCTACTAATTAAACCCATAATGCTAAAAACAATGAATCAATTGTTCAGAAATGATTGTTTTTGCAAGAATCCTTAACTGAATCTTACCTCAACTACTACTTGTACATACCAAATAGAAGGTCTGTGAACAGCAGATGCCACACAGGCCTTCCCCCCCTTTTTGGCATGAAAAAATAACGGTTGGTTGGTTGGTTTTTTCTTGGCCCTTGCTAATGCAGATCAGCCAATTGCTTTAGATCAGTGATTCTCAACCTTTCTAATGCCGTGACCCCATAATACAGTTCCCCATGTTGTGGTGACCCCCAAGTGGGTGTGGCCACCAATAAGAGGGAGTAGGACAGCTAGGGAAAAGGGAAAAAAATGGCGGACAGCATGGTTTGGTGACCCCCGTGAAATGGTCATTCGACCCCAAATGGGGTCCCGACCCACAGGTTGAGAACCACTGCTTTAGATAAATGCTGATTATGCTCCTAGCAACTAACTGATGGAACATTCTGAGGTGCTCATTAGGGATAAACCTGTACTCATGCTGGCCAACAGCAAGAAGCATTTGGTACAGTGCTTATCAAAAACTTCCATTATGTTTCAATCCTCTATAGAAACTTTACATACAATAATAGCAGGGGGGGAAATCTCTAACACAGTATTCAGGGCAGTAAACTGCAATAAGAGCTTAAATCTTAAAAGTCCATATAAACCAACATTTAAACAATCAACTCTTGCTTCTGTCCCAATTAAGTACCATCCAGGTTCTCCATGGTATGGAACTTTTAACTGGCCTGACTCTGGACTGACGCTCCAGCCAGAATCGTGTTACATGATTCTGGGAATTGCACTAATTTTAAGCTACAATTTATGCTCACTTCTTGAAAGTAAATTGTTCTCTGCTGAGAATTTTGAAGGCTTTCATGATGAAAAGCAGAGGTTGAAGGCACAAATATTTTTCACTGATTCACAACATGCTCATGCACATATAACAAAAGATTCTATCTCTAGATGTTGTTTGAAGGAAGGGTTTCTTGTATTATCTTGGCAAGGAATATTCTTGCACAATAGTTGTTGGCATGAACGAGGAATTCTGAACTCATCCTAAAGCCTTTTTAGAAAGCAACACATTAAAATGTAAGATGTTAATTCTTTCTGTACTAATTAATAAAAAATCAATTGTACATCACAGTAGTAACTACTAGTTCCATGTCTCTTATGTACTATTTTGAATAGTGAGCCATTTTCAACAGCTAATATCTCCAAATAAATGTTTAGAAAAAAATCTTTGTGCTTACCTTTCTCAATAATGTATTAGGTAACTTTCTAATCTTTTCCACTTGTTCAGAATTAATTCCCAGCTCACAGCAACACACTTTGAGTAGATCCTGGTAATTCAGTTGTTTTCTGTCCAGTTCAATTTCAATGAAGTCATATTCTTTAGGATTCTGAACTCTTACTTTAAGCACCAATTCTATATATTTATATGGGGGGGAACATATATATTCACATGAAATAAATGCTCAATAGCAAGAGCGGAAACAAAAATGATAACTTCTCTGCAATCCCCAAATCATTTTCTTTAAACTATGTCCTTCATTAACAGAAGAGAGAAATGGCTCCAGACAATTAAGATTATTAGAAATTAACTGTAGACTAAATTAGGAATTTGGAGGTACTGGGGGCAGGGCATCCCAGAAGAGGGAAATGGCAAATCACTGCTGTATTCTTGCCAAGTGGTCACATCCATCATTGGGGGTCAAACTTGACTTAAGACAGACTTTACCTTAGCATGTAATGGGAAAATGAAAACCAAAATGCAGTCCTGATGGTTATTGCAAATGAATAATAAGGTTGTGCACAAAGGAAAAAGGGATTCACCATCTATACAGGTAGTCCTTGAGTTACAACCACAATCGAGTCCAAAATTTCTATAAAAATACTAAGCAAGACAGTTGAGTGAATTTTGCCCCATTTTATGATCTTTCTTTCCACAGTTGTTAAGTGAATCACTATAGCTGTTACGTTAGTAAAATGGTTGTTAAGTGAATCTGGCTTCCCAACTGATTTTCCTTGTCAGAGGGTCACAAAAAGGTGATCACATGACCTCATGACATTGCAACCATCATAAATATATGCCGTTTGCCCAGTATCTGAATTTTGATCACGTAACTGGGGATGTTGCAACGGTCGTAAGTGTGGAAAACAGTCATAAGTCACTTTTGTCAGTGCTGTTGTAACTTCAAACAGTCATTAAATGAATGGTTGTAAGTTAAAGACTACCTTTAACTCCAAAGGCTTCCTGGGCTCCTAGAACTTATTGCTGCCTCTCCTATCGGAAGTGCCCATCCAACCCCCCCTCCCCGCTTTATCATGGGTGCTTTCCCATTGGATGAAGAGCAAACCTAAACAACCTGTCAAGAAAAATAAAGAAACATTATTTGAAAGGTTTTCAGTACCGTCCATATTGCATGGAAAAGTTCTACTGAAAAGCAGTGGCTGTAATGCAGACTCTGCATCCATTGTGGCATCATTTGTTTGATTAGTCATGTGTTGTCTAGATGGACAGGAAGTCAAGTGATCTCTGTTGTGATGTGCAGATGAAAAAAATGAGGGAATAGAGCTTTGAACGCTAGACTTTATATCTTCGGATGCTTCTGCAACCACGGATGAAATGAGTTCTTCAACCCAAAGGTGTTTCCCAGAGAGTTCTGTTTCTTTGTGCAAAGAAATCACTACATCATTGTTTTCTGCTTGAACTGTTGATAAACAAAGGCTAGTTTCACCAGCAGATAAATGAGGTGTGGCAGAATTATTTTCTCTGGGTGGAGCACCCATAAGAGCAGCACCATCCCCTTTTTGATGGTAAATCGCTGGAAATGATTCATTGGTGAGACAGTTTGCTATACCACTCAGCAGTTTTAAATTATTTACTTCTTGATTATCACCACCTTCCACTTCAGGAGCTATTAGGAGAAAATAAAATAAAAAATTAGAATATTTTAACCATTCTCTCCTATGAGAGTAGTTACTCCCATGCATTTCAGAATCAGCAGAAATAACTATACTCAACTTTGGGAATCATGTTTTAACTGCAAAGGAACAGCAAACAGATTTAACAGGCAAACAGTTTTAAGTACAAGAGAAATGAAGACCCACACATGAAGCTACAGTGGCAAATACTTGGTTAAGAATAGGAATCTTAACAGTTATATTTTATTTGGAAGCAGAACATAAAAGTAGAGAAATATGTTCCTGTATACCATACAATTGTCCAGTGCCACAAAATGTACATAAAATGTCATATAATGCGATCCAGGAAGCAGGTCTTTACTGTCACAATGCCTGGCCTATGGAACACCATCCCTCCCTCAGGTTCAGAGGCCCTGTTTTCTGCTGGTGTTTAGAAATATTTTGTTTATTCCCTCTGGCATTGTGCTGAGGCTTTCAATCAGACATGACAAACACAAGGCCCGGGGGCCGGATGCGGCCCGCAAAGTGGTTTCATGTGGCCCGCGAAACCATCCTGGAAATAGTGAGGGAACGGCCCCCGCTGCCCTGGCCCTGACCCAGGCCGGCCGGAAGCTAATGTACAATTTTGTGGTGGCCATCTATGCTGAAAAGCATTCAGTCTTAGCTCCACAAAGCTGTCCAGAAACAGCGAGGAACCAGCCCCTGCTGCATTGGCCCCATCCCCTGGGTGCATGCTGGGGAGGTGTCACCCTTTGTGAGGAATGAAGAAATGCACCATGCCTTGGCGTTTGCCCCGGTCCCATCTCCTTATGCCAGAGACCCTCAGATCTGTTCCACTCCTGTCCAGGCCCCCACAGGCACCCTTGACGCGAACAATGTAGAGCTGGCCATGCCCACCCAGTAGGCCACACCCACTCCATCCACGCCCACCCAGTAGGCTGCACCCACCCTGGCCACACACCCCCGCCCCCTCAAGGGCAACCGCAATGCTGATGCGGCCCTCAATGAAATTGAGTTTGACACCCCTGCTTTAAATGAACCAATTATAAAACTGAAGCGTGTTACATTGAAAACCTCTATCATTGAATTAATATTCTTGTGGTTATTTTTTATCTTCAGGAGAAAGAGTTGATTATTATGGCTTTAATTAACATTTTCTACTCAGAGTCACAGAAGTGAGACAGGGAGCCATATACAAATCACTGAAATAAATAAAATAAATGGAAAAATGAAAGCACTTTCCAAGGTAGGCTAACTTCCAAGATAATATCTAGATTAAAGATCCAAGTTTGCACAAAATGCCAAAACCATGTTTGGAGTACAGCTGAGCTTTGGTTGCACCTGTGGAATAATGGCCAAACATACCAGGCTGATAATTTAGTCTACAACTTTTCTATCGTACTGAAAAGAGGAATAGTCATAGAAAAAAAAAGAATCATAGAATCACGGGTTGAGATTAAACCAATATCTTAATGAAGTTTACCAATAACATCAGAAAACTCTTTAAGTTACTTGAACATAAAACAATAAAATAAATCCTTTCTCCTTATCTTACTCCATTATGAACTTCATTGATACCTCAGAATGCAAGAGTTATGCTCTAAAGACAAATCCTTTTAATATTTTTAAAAAGATAAATTCAAGTTATCAAGCATACCTCCAAGAAGTTTTCTGATTTCTTTTTTTGAAGTCAGATGGGCTGCCAGGTCTCTGTTCTTTGTAAAAATCCCCTTATTGGCTCCATGGTCTAGCAGGTACTTAACTATATGAGTTTGATTACGCTTGCATGCCCAATGCAAGCATGTCCTATACAAGATAAATGTGAATTATCAAGCATTTCTATCATTGTGACACAGCAGATATTAACCAAACTGCAGCTCCCAGCAATTCTGGCAATGAACAGGAATTCTGTAAACGGCATCTCTGCCTGGCTCCCTGATGGCCAAGGGCCATAATAGAAGCTTTCTTACCAGAAATCATCATTTTCCTATCTATAGATTACTAAAATTCTCATGTCTTTAACCTTTAACTGAGCATCATAAGGCCAAGGTACCTCAAATAGGCTAACTCGGGTCCCCAACCCCCAGTCCGTGGACTAGTACCAGGCCATGGCATGCCAGCAACCGGTCCACACAAAAAAGCAAAGCCGTGGGATGCAAGCAGCACAAAAAACAATGCATCCTGTGGTCCATGGAAAAACCTCTCTCCATGGAACCGGTCCCTAGTGCCGACCAAGTTACAGAATGCTGGGATCCATTATTCTTGTGGGAACGAAATTTTGGAAAATTCTTGCCATTTCAGTGCCCCACACTGCTGCTGTTTAGTGCCACAGCTGCGCAATGTTCCCTGACACGTTCCCACAAGTCAGTAAGGAAGCCTGAGAAGTTTGCAGGGAGAAAGTAAGCAAGGATCACATAACCATGACTGATGGTGGGAATGTGGCAGCATACTTGGACTTGCAACTTCCTTCCTGGAAGCTTGCAGGGAGAAAGTCACTGGGGAAACCTTGCAAGGAAGGTTGTAAGTTCTCAGTTAAGGAAATTATGTGAAAGGATGAACCAAGGGGTCACAGGTTCTGCGTAGTACCATTTACATATAAACAGTGAAGGTTCAATCTCTAATGTTTCTGCTTAGGTAGAACTGGACTATGCTGTCTAAGATCTCAGCTGGCTGAAGTGACAATAAATGAATTTGATGGTCTCTGACCAACATACAGTAGTTTCATATCCCAGTTTGTGAGGTAATATCAGTTTCATTGGGAGAAGCATGGAAGTTTAAGAAAGCTATCTTTCTTGAATTTTCCCACAATTCTTAAAGGTGTCCAATCTATCCAGTGTTCATATTATTTTGTGAATGAATTTTATTAGGATTTCATAGATGCAAACCATGCCACATCATTTGCAGGAAAGAAGACTGTATCACAGAATATTATCCCTTATTCTTTTGTAAATGCTTTAGATCAGTGCTCTGTATTTATGCTACAGGTAGCTTACCGACCACTCATTCAGTGACTGAAGTTACAACAACGCTGAAAAAGAAAACTTGCAATGGGTCCTCAAACTGTGGCCACTGTGGCCTCCCTATGATCACATAATCATGATTTGGAAGCTTGAGAACTGGCATGCATTCACAACAGTCAGAGTGTCCTGCAATCACTTAATCACCATTTGTGAATTTCACAGCCGGCTTCTGACAACCAAAGTCAATGGGGGAGTCAGCAAGAAGTCAGAAGTCACAGTCATACTACATTTCACTTTATAACCATGTTGTTTAGCAACTGGTGCTAATAGTGGTCGGTAAGTAAGGACTACAAGCAGTCCTCAGATTACAAGAGCAATCTGAATCAGAATGTCTGTCACTTAGTGCAATGTCACATGATCATATCACTTAGTGATAGCAATCCTGGCAGTCCCTAACACTATGCAAGCGCCCATGGGTTAGGTGAGCAATGGAGGGAAGAGGCAGGAATCCAGGCAAGCAGGCCAGTGGACAAGAGTGATAGGCAGGCAGAAGACACAGGTGGGTGCTATGGAATGTGGGCAGGTGCCAAAGGACACGCATCATAGGGCAAGTACTATGGGGTACAGATGGACATGCCAGAAAGCAGCTGGAGTGAGATGATGTTGACTTCCAGCAGGGAAGATTTGTGCCAGCAGGGAAAATTACAAATGGTGAAGACCGCAATCACTGTAATTTTGAGCCAGTTGTCAAGTTCCAGAATCAAGTTCATGTGGGGTGTTGCAATAGCCACAACACTAGCAACCACTCCTAAGCCCCCTCATTCAGCACTATCATGACTTTGAATGATCGCTAAAAAAGTAGTTGTAACTGGAGGACTATCTCTTTCTGTATGATATAATCTTGGCAGTATTGGGGAATATAATATATAATGATCCACATTGGAGCCATAAAGCACTCTAAATAAGACAGAATGGTGTTATTCTTAATAATTGAGATGGGTGGCAACCATATAGGTATGATTAGGGTGAATAACCACTGTTCAGGTAGTCCTCCACTTACGGCCATAATTGAGCCCAAAATTTTTATTGCTAAACAATACAGTTAAGTGAATTTTGCCCCATTTTATGACCTTTGCTGCCACAGTTGTTAAGTGAATCACTGCAGTTGTTAAGTTAGTAATATGGATAAGTGAATCTGGATTCCCCCTTGACTCTGCTTATCAGAAGGTGGCAAAATGTGATCACATGATCCCAGAACACTGAAACCATCATAAATACATGCCAGTTGCAAAATGTCTGAATTCTGATCATGTGACTATGGGGAGGCCACAACGGTTGTGTGGAAAACGGTCACAAATCACTTTTTTCAGTGCTGTTGTAACTTTGGACGGTCACTAAGTGAACTGTTTTTAAGACGATGATGACCTGTAAGATATTCACTGCAAATTATCTTCCAGGTGTCCCTAAAATCAAACTTGTAAGAGTCTTGTTGTGGCTTAATATCCCAGAAACCAATTGTTATCCCCAAAGCGTGGGCAATGATTCTGCGGTTGGTGTATCGTTATTGCTAAATGAGGTAAGTGACTGTTTCCCATTCTACCTCACGCGAGGAACCATAATTAAGCGACCAAGTCTAAGGAAAAAAATCTCTATTAGTCTTGCCTAGTTTTAAGGGAAGGTTGGCAAGACCAAGGGAAGGTGAGCTAAGAAAGGAGCTGTGAGGATGCTCTGGAGGAGGCCACACTCCATTAATTCGCTATACAGGCAGTCCTCGAATTACGACCACAATTGAGCCCAAAATTTCTGTTGCTAAGTGAAACATTTGTTGAGTGAATTTTGCCCCATTTTACAACCTTTCAAGCCACAGTTGTTAAGTAAACCATTGCAGTTGTTAAATTAGTATCCCAGTTGTTAAGTGAAACTGGTTTCTCACAATCCTGAGACACAGCAAAAGGTCATAATTAGAAACCAGTTGCCAAAGATCTGAATTGACCATAGAGATGCTGCAAAAGTAATAACTGTGAAAACTGGTCATAAGTCACTTTCTTCACTGCCGTTGTAGCTTTGAACGGTCACTAACGGAACTGTTGTAAGTCGAGGACTACCTGTAATTCAAGGGCAAATAAAGACACCTGCTGTTGCTGCATGTTGGAACGTGGGGAGAAGGAAGCAGTTTGCCGTCTGCCCTCCCAGTTGGAGAAACGAAAGCACCCGACCCGGAGGCAGATGGGAGAAAGGAAGAGGGGGGCCTCTTACCAGCCATTGACCTCATTCTGCGCATTCACCGCTACCCCGTTGCGGACCAGTATCCGCACCTCCTCGAGATTGCCTAGGGCAGCAGCTTCCCGGAGCCTCTCCTCCAAGTAGCTGCTCATCCTCCCCGTCTCTTTTCCCCCTGCCCCTCCGAGCCCTTAGCGCGCCCCCCGGCAGGCCCAGAAATGCTCCATCTACAGGCGTCCCCTTTCAGGGAGACGGAGGTAGAGACGGAGCGAGGGAACGAAAGTAGAAGCTGCTGCTGCTCCCCCTCCCAGCTCTCTCGTCCGCTCAGCTCCGAGGCCGGGATGCGCGAGGCTCTCCCGCCGGCTGGAGAGGCGGCGCGCGGAGTCGACCCACTGCAATTTTCATTCATCCAGCGAAGCCAGAGCACAGACACGGACAGAGGGGGCAGATCGCAGGGCAAATTCGAGAGGAGAGATTCGAAGCTCCGTTTCCAGGACAACCACGCCTTCGGGGGCGGGCCTGAACGCTTGTAGAACCCGAGCCGAACGACAAACAGTGGCGGTTGCTCCAGCGAAATGCTGAAGCTTCGCGCAGGGCGAATGTTTCTGTGTTTGTCTGTCTGTCTGTCTGGTTCGGAGATTTCCACAAGCGTGTACAACCATCCCTAAAAATCAAGATTGGGTAGCTGAAAAGTCAACTAAAATTTTGCCCTCTGTTTAATTTGTTAAAGTGTATATACTGAAAGATGCATATTAACAGGGCTTTTTTGGTCATAGAACGCCCAGAACGGAGTTCCGGCACCTTTTTTGGATGGAACCTTGTAGGGTAGGCAAGGCAGGTTGTTTAACTTGTGTGAGCTCCTGCACCCTTTTTTTTTTTTTACAAAAAAAGCACTGCATATAAATATGCATATTATGTGTGTGTATATACGTATGTATGTATATGTATATATGTATTTATATGTAGTATATGAAAAGAAAAAAAAGGATTGAAAGCAAAAAAAAAAAATGCTCTTTTTACATGCTGGCCTTCATTGGAAGCCTGTTGAAACTGCTTGAATCTTGCAGATAGTGTAGGGCTGATTTTGACCACAGTTGAGCAACTTCTGTTGCTAAGCAAGACAGTTGTTATGTGAGTTTTGCATCATTTTATGACCTTTTTGCCACAGTTAAGTGAATCACTGCTGTTCTTTAAGTTAGTGAGGGAAGTTAGCCCCCGAGAAGGAAATATTAAAAAGGAAAATATATTTTTCCTCAAGGATTTTTTTTAAAAGTATTTTTTGAAAAGCAGAAACCAAACCTGGCCCCAAATTTCTTTGCCTCAAGCAAGAGCTAGCCTCATAGAAATGCAGATATAAGACCATTAGGAAGTTGGAGCCAGGGAACTCAAGACAAAGAAACTCTTAAGAGTCATTAGCTTAGCCCCAGGGAAGCAGGAGATGACTTTTGGGATATAATAGGACTAACCCATTACCATCAAGTATACGATAGAGCAGGGGTAGGCAACCCAAAACACTCAAAGAGCCACTTGGACCCGTTTCCCACCAAAAACAAAACACCGGGAGCCGCGAAATCCTTTTGATATCTAAAATGAAGATAACACTGCATATATCCTTTTTTACCTTTATTATAGGTGTATGTGTGTTTGTGTGTGTGTGTGTGTGTGTATGTATGTATACACACACACACATATATATACACATACATACACATACAGGTAAAAAAAGGATATATGCAGTGTTATCTTCATTTTAGATGTCAAAAGGGTCTCTCTCTCTCTCTCTCTCTGTCTCTCTCTCTCGCTCCCTCTCTATCTGCCCTTGGTCTGCCTGCCACTCCTCTTCCCCCACTCTTTTTCTTTCTCTCTCTCTCTTTCCTCCCTCTCTCTCTCTCTCCCTCCCTCCCTCCCCCCCCTCTCTCTCTTTCTCTCTCTCCTATCTGCTGCTCACTTGGAAAGCTTCAAGCTGTTGTCCAACAAGATCAGGGTAGGCAACCTCGTCTCTTTTATGACTCATGGACTTCAACTCCCAGAATTCCTGAGTCAGCCTAGCTGGGCTAGCTAGCTCTCTCCTGCCCTTCCTGCTTCCTGCTTCCTGCAGAGAAGCAGCAAAGGGAGGAGCTCCGTCCAGAAAGCTTTTCAGCTCCTTGGAGAACACTGTGAGTGCAATCTTTTACGCACACACACACACACACAGAGAGAGAGAAAAGCAGGGAAGCGCAATTGCCTCTCTGTCTCTGTATCTCTCTGCAAAGGCGGAGGAGGCTGGGAGCCACCGGGGAAGGCTCAAAGAGCCGCATGCGGCTCCAGAGCCGCAGGTTGCCGACCTGTGCCATAGAGGCACACCTAAACTCAGGTCAGAATATGTGACACAGGAAATAGCCTCAAAGTTCAGGACACAGGAACAGGAAACTATTCCAAACAAAAGGCTAGAGGGTATAAAAACCTACTACATCATGTGCTTAGCCCTTCTCTCCTTTGCTCTTTCCTGAAGAACCATCTTTCTGCAATAAACTGTAACCTTCTTCCCAAAGCAGTTGCCATGTTTGCTTATTTATTCCCGGCTTGGATGAACCAGGATGAAGACTTTACTTCTAACATTAGTAACACAGTTAAGTAAATCTGGCTTCCCCATTTGACTTTGCTTGTCAGAAGGTGGCAAAGTTAGCCACATGACTCCAGAACATTGCAACTATCATAAATGTATGTGGGTTGTCTGAATTTAATCATGTGACCATGGGAATGGTGCAAAGGTTGTAAGTGTGAAAAAAAATATATAAGTCACTTTTTTTCAGGGCAGTTGTAACTTTTTACAATCAGTAAACGAATAGTAGTAAGTCAACGGCTACCCATATTGATTTCATGCCATTTAAGCAGTGATCTTTAATTTGTTTTCTCCAAATGAATCCCTCTTACTTAACTTATAGTTCAAGGAGTCAGTTTCTGTTGACTTGGGAGTGTCAGAAGTAAGTCTTCATCCTGGTTCATCCAAGCCGGGGATAAATAAGCAACATGGCGACTGCTTTGGGAAGAAGGTTACAGTTTATTGAAGAAGCAGAAAGATGGTCCTTGCAGGAAAGAGCAGAGGAGAGGAAAGAGGAGTTGAGCACATGGGCAGTAGGTTTTTATATCCCCTCTAGCCTTGTTTGGAATAGCTTCCTGTTCCTGTGGCATGAACCTTGAGGTTACCAGCTACAATAACTTAGTAGTATTTTTCACCTTTACCTAGAGAAGCAGAGCACTGAATCTCGGATTTTTTAATTGGACTACGTTGATAGTGCGCACAGTGGTTAAGATGTACTAGAACTAGAGAAGAAACTGTGGTTTAAAGCTGGCCTAAACCCTTGAAATTCACTGAGTGACTTTGGGCCAATCATTCTCTGGAGATTGTGAGACACTCTGGAGACTTCAGCAAACTCTGGTTGTAGAAAGAGAAGTATTTGTGCTCCTGGAAGGGAAAAAAAGATTAAAAATGTAACAACTAAATAATGTATATATGCACTATTCTTTAAAAATGAAGCATGGGCTTCCTGCTTTCCTTCTGAAAATAGGAAATCATACAGGCAACAGTTATGTACATCTCTAGCAGTGATATGCATCAATGACACAGAATGCCATAAACTAGGTAAAAACTATGATGAGAACCAGGGTAGTAGTGGTTAAGATGTCAGACTAAGAGCAAGCAAACCTAGAGTTCTAGTCCAGAGGTTCCCATCCTTGGCAACTTTCAGACTTGTGGACTTCAACTCCCAGAATTCCCCAGCCAGCCATGCTGCCTGAGGACTCCTGGGACTTGAAATTCACAAATCTTAAAAGGTTGGGCACCCTTATCCTTAGTCCATTTCCAGCCATGGTAATTCTGTCAAACACTGTTAACTCCTCTGCATAGTTCCTAATGTAGGGATACAATTAAGGGAGATGCTTATGTAAAGTACTTTAAGCTCTCGATGCAAAAATACAATATAAATCTTAACAAATTTAACAAAACAAACATTTCAAGAGGAAAAGAAATCTTCACTTCAACTGTCTAAAGCAGTGGTTCTCAACTTTTTTAATGCCGCGACCCCCAACCGGTCGTAAGTCGAGGACTACTCAACCGGTCATAAGTCGAGGACTACTCAACTGGTGCAGCACCGTTTGCAGAATGGGACTTTTGGCGGGCTCAGCAGGGCAGAGACAGCCTTGACAATTCCTATTGGCTTTTGAAAGCCAATAAAATTAGACTCTATTCAAGAGAGTCTATTCTATTGGCTTTCAAAAGCCAATAGAATAAAAGGGAGTAGCACAGCTAAGGAAAAGGGGAAAAAAATGGCGGACTGCGTTATTTGGCAACCTCCATGAAATGGTCGTTCGACCCCAAATGGGGTCCCGACCCACAAATTGAGAACCACTGGTCTAAAGTCACAGATTCAGCCAGTCCCAAACCCTAACCAAGAAGGAGAGGAGAGGAAATATGTTTACATATTTCCCTTTCTTCATCTGCCCTAGGAGCCTTTAAAAAAGTCTATTCCAGGCTAACGTAAGGAGTTGAAAAGTTATGCAGAATTTCTTAACAAATATCACAAAATAGAAAGAAGAAGCAGTAGATTTGAGTGAAGTGTTTATTGTTATTGTGCACCATATCATCAATATGAGTGCATGCCCTATGGAATAGGGACTACTTGTCCTTATGTTAAACTGCAGTGTAAACTATAGGGTTGCTATAAAAAAAAAAAAAAAACAGGAGCCGAAATGATGATGTGGAAGAGGCATGTAAGAAATTGTTTTCTACATCTGGCATAATTGCCAGGCTTGATGTCATGCCACTAGAGGTCACAGTAGAACAATGAAAAGAGTGTTTAAAATAGTTTCTGCTAAAATGTTCTGTTCTGCTTGTTTATGCCTTTTTTGAGGTGAGCTAGTGCTGCAAACACTTTGCAAATGTAATCATTATGGTGCTATATATTGTAAAACTGATGTCAAGATGATTAGAGCTTTAGAGAGGTCAAGGAGGCTTAGATGAGGACTGAGAGGTAGCCTGGGTTGAGAGTGCATATCTGACCCAAACTCACCAAGCTGTGCCCCCAGTAATTATTTTTATCTTCATGGCAGGTACATTGATGGCAGGTGACGCTGAGACTCTTCTTCAGAACCATCTGCCATATTCCTGCCTTCTTTGTTTTAACATTGGTTTAACAATGTTTAGAAAAATGTACACACATATATACATGTGTACATATCCCTGAAATACAAGTAGGGTTTCTGCCTTTGGGTTGACAAACAGAAAATTAGTGAGCAAGCATTTCCTATTATTTACCTGAGTTAGTAAAAGATTACTGTATAATATTTATGAATGTGAAATTGACACAGAAGCACATTATAAAATTATAGCAATAATCTAAAGCCTCTTTGTCTTTTCTTTTGTTTCTGATGTGCCTGAGGAAACTCCTTGTTGTTTTGGACATTTCCTGCA